AGAATATGTGATTACTTTTTTTAAAGCTTATTTTTAATATCGAAAAAAATTTGAAAAACTATGCGAGATGTCAATGATTGTATTAGGTATATCGAAATGGGGTACTAAAGGTGTGTTCACTCCATTGGAAGAATTTTTTTATACAGCCGTCCGAACAAAAATATAAAAATACAGAAAGATGTAAAATTTCACGGGCTTCCCGAATATGTCGTTATTTTTAAAAAATATGTTCTTTTGGTAACAATATCCTCAAAATACAGAGGGAAACTTATTTTTGCCAGGGGTATATATATATATAACAGCAACAATACAGCAATGGCAGACGTATTTGTTTTCAGCATCCAATGTTGAACTTCGGCCCATTTTGGATCCGATACTGAACGCACCTATACTCGGACTCGTCATCGGAAGAACGTTAATCTGGGCCAATCTCGAATCGAACAAAAAATTATATCGAAAACCATATCCGCTTTACGATCAATATCAGATTCAAGTTTTTCATTGACGAACTACAACAAACAAAGGTATTTCTTGGATCGAATAGCCGATTGATGACTTAACATTGGACCCAAAGAGTTGTATACAAATTTTAATAGTTCTTTTATGTACAACCCAGAGCTGTATGTTATCCAACTTTCAATAATCATCAAGCTACTACATCAAAGAAATACCTTTACTTCTTTGTTGTTCGTCGATAAAAAACTTGAACCCAGCATTGACCGTAAGGCAAACTTGGGTTCAGGTATGGATAAATTGTGCTCGTATTGTACAGTTTCAAGAAGAAAAAACCAAACACAAGTGGATATGAAAAATATTTGAGTTGTACATTTAACAGAGCCCCATTGATTACATATGAATCAAGTTTTTTCCCAATTGCTACTTTTTTCGTTTCGCAAAAAGATCAAGTTTTCTAAAAAAAACACCCTTTCTATAATTTCTTGGTAGAATAAAATTTCCAAAAAAAGGATTCATATATTGTTATCTTTTATTAGTGGGCCAATTTTGCAAAGGAGAATCTAATGAATATGTCTAGAACTTTATTCACACATATATGCGCACATATCTCAAGGATATGAGGGTGAACTTGAGTGTGCACAAACAGAAAACCCACATCCACACCCCTTCAGTTGAGTATCTCAGAACCTATGACATCTTTAGTAATCTGTCGATAGCCTACTTTCGATTGCATAAACAGTTTTCTTTACTTTTTTGAGGTCAAATCCTTCTCATCCGAGGGTGATCGATGGCTGGGTATGCCAATATTCAAACACTTGTAAAAATTTTCTTAAATGTATTTACAAACTGACACGAACCGAACCTAATCGTATGTATAGCCGATTCTCAACACATTTATGCTGTTCCAGTGTCAAACGCATTGAGGTAAATAATATATTTTTTCGGATTGTTATCATAATCACATTTAACAAATTCAAATATCGCCTCAGGGTAAATCAAAAATTCTTCTTCTTGAGGAAGATTCGATATACTTGATATGTAAACACCGTATGAGCGAGTCGTACGATAGAAACGCGAGTAATAGTTTGATTTGATGACAAGAAGTGTATTACCAAACATTTCTGCTACTACTCGATTTGTGCTTGTAGACGTAAAAGCTGAGAAATGTATCGCATATTTGTCCATATAATTATCTCTTTGTTTATCTGTTAAATTAATCCCACGGTAAACCGTATCAACATTAACTATTTGTATTTGCACCAAGTAAAAAGAGAGTAGTGCAGAAAATGGACCTAATGTTTTCAATATCACGAAGTACATGATTGATTAATGTAAATGAAAATGAGTCTTTTGTATAAAGGAATGCGCACATTCGGCCGATCTCATCAGGCACTACATCGTCATGCGGTCGATCTATACCCTCACCGTAGTGTTTTTTACTTTGAGCAATTCTTTAGCTAACCATTCAGCTTCGCACTTCTTTCCAAGATCTGTTCCTTCTTTTAATAATTCCTTGTGCTGCTTCTTCAACAATATCAGCAAAAGTTGTATTTCGACTGGTTGTAAGCCATAGATATGAGGATGGAAAATGAATTGTATCTCTTAACGACTGAAGATGAATTTTATTCTTCTCTTCTTTTTCAATTATTTTTACAGGTGATATAGAGACAAGTGAGACGGATGATGAAAACCGTTCTTCGCGTAGGTGAACATTAACAGTAGTCTTTGAATCTAACACAATACGTTTTATTTGTTGTCGTTTATTATTATCTGTTTTGTTGTATTGAACTTGTTGTTCTAAATCAATAACGTAACCTCCATTGATTTCAACCTCTTTTCTATGTTCATCAGAGGCATCTTCGATAATTTCATTTTCAATATCTGTATATTTCATCCATTTGTTGTCAGCTGACGACGAATCGACTTTTGAATCCCAGTACTATTGAAAGTTATGTGAACGACGAAAAAGTGGAGAAGTATCAACAGCAGACATTCCATCGTATTCTTTTCTTTATAAAATCAACAGTGACAATTTTATTTCTCTTCCTTTTGATATTTTTTTTTTCAACGTACACACTGAGCGTCCGATATATAAAACTCGTATGTTTATGATATACATTGATAAGGAAAGAAAAGAAAACAAACATACAGAACAGAATGGGAAAAAGCATTGAAAATGAGAGTGTTTGTTGTGTAAAATGGAACTTCTGACGCGCCCAGATATGTTTTAAAAATTCGTGCTGGATTGCCATCAAATTCACATGATAGTCAGCTCGTCGTAGAGATATATGAGAGAATAAGTGCTATAATTTTTATATGAACCATTAAACTGTATAGTGAATAAGGCTAAAACAGATGACGTCTGATTATACATCGACATACGTAAGCCAATGCGTTACATTGGCTTATGAATGTATCAGATACATCTCTATTTTGACAAGGCAATCTGTAATATCACTTAAGTGGTATGCAAGAAGATGTACAAAAACAAAGATGCATTTAACCATGGATTATTAATTTATCTTTATATTTTTCTTTAAAAAAGATAGAGATTAAAACAATTTAGTTTAAAAAATTATAAATTAATAAAATCTCGATTCTTATAAAGTAAAATAAACTTTTAGTTAACAATCGGTTCTTTCACATTCTTGTAAGATGAAAAATTTTATTTTGTGTTCTCACCTTTTTTTCGAATGAAGATTATGCTTATCTTCGAGATTTTGTTACGAACGTAGGAATGAATTCTGAATTTTAATGTAGACTAACAGGTACGACTCATTCATTACACGGATATTCTTTCGTTATAATATGACACCAGTCAAGTCTAAAACAAACTCTGAAAAAGTTTTACTCAACAAATAAAATATTATATGATCTTCATTATCTGGGAAAGTTTCTATTTGAGGTGGATTGGTGTGAGTGGTTGTTGATGCAGATATTGGAGTCTTGTGTTCAGTCACATCCACACTCCACACTCTGAGCACCTTCTAATTACTGAAAACACAAGCTTTCATAAAACCTTAGTACAAGCTAAGTTCTTATTGGTAACGGAGATGATAATGGCTAATATGGAGTAAAACCTGTTGTAAAAGCAGGTCTAAATCATGAAAGCTTGAACTTTTCGAGTTTCTTAATTGTCTTGAAAATGAAATTAAATATGTTCCCGGGTGTGAGTGTGGATATAGGTTTCAAATAAGAGAAAACTGACGCCACGCCCACTCGCACACCCTCATCCGACACTCACCCACACCCTCTGCGACCGATTGCACTGTTGTAACTTGAGGTGGAAAAATATTTTCGACAGCAACATTGGCGATAGTATTCACCGCATCCCACAAATCACCAACACAGAGCACATCAGGAATGAAAATATTAGAAGCAATTTGAGCAAGTTCGAGAGCGATAATGTCACCTATCATGGCTGCTCCTCGCACGATTTTAATCAGACTGCGAAGGTATAGACCGTATTTGATCGAATACTTCCGAGGACTCTCTGTCATGTAATTCTCCTGAGGAGTTTGATGAATATTATTTTGGCATTCATATGGAAAATAAAATCGAAAATGATGCCGAATCATGTTAATTGTGTCGGTCTCTTTCACGACGATGAACACACTGGATATTAAATACTTAACAAGCTCTGCAGTTTGTTTCATCATTTTGTCTTCATTTTCAATCATAGCCATTTTCACGTCATCAATGTAAGACAGTGAGAACGTTCAGGCGCTCCTCAACACTGTTCAGTTTGGTTAGTATGGGTGAACAGTTTTGTGATTGCTTCTAAATTTTCGGCTTTTAGCCACTGTGGTGAATGCACCACGCTCTAGATGGCGTCCGGTCTTGTCCAATAGAAAAGGTAATAAAGCATCATTCTTGGAAAATGAGGTAACTGTTGAAAAATGTTCAAGAACATCTCCAAAAAACATGTACACTCTATCATGTTCAAAATGAGACTCAACACGAATTACTACTATTCTCTTGAAATCTTGACAGGATACAATGTGGCAAGTATTCCAATGTTCGTGAAATCTTGCAGATGTTAAGGTCATTGAAGTCAAGATAAGTTAATTTCAACTGATGCATGTCTGGCTGCATTTCTTGCAATTGATCCTTTGTGGTTCTTCCCTTCTTGTACAAAAAAATCAACTAAAGTCATTATAAAATTGAAGTCGTCTCCCAATGGACAATGATTGCTAATGATCTCGAATCACTTCACCATTTTGGACAAAGTTTCCTAATGTTTAGCCATTTCTTAATTGTTGAGAAATCTTGTGTTTACAATTTATTTGATATTAAACATGAAAATTTCATGGTAATTAAAATAAAATCAAGATGTTATCAATTACAATAATCGAGTGTCTCGCTATATTTCGAACAACAAACACATAACCCGACAATGATACTCTAAAGAGAAAGGAATCCTCAGTCAGTGAATATAGGAAATACGCATATTACACGCACACCCACCCGTTCAACAATTAGACACAAATACACAGCATAAAAGCAATATTTAGACAACGAAGAGACAAAGACAATAAGCTGATGGTTCATGGCGATGGCAAACTTATGTTCACAGCAATAACGAATCCAAGTCTAATTCGATTGCACAGACAAAAGCGACATACATGAAAATGACATTGTACATCAAACAACACTTGAAAAGCATAGAAATTTTTCACGTAGAAGAAAGAAGTAGAACATATTTGCAGCTTATTGTAGAAACGATATACGATCTTGGTGTGTTCTCTGTTGATTTGAAATGCTTAATAATGGATATTAAAGCATTCATAGCTTTTAATCTAAAATTGAGAAATTTTGTACATCTATCAATTATTATCAGCTTCTTTCTTATTCGAAAAAAAAATTTTTAGATTTGAAACTAAAACATTTCTGTTACAATAGAGTAATGATCAAGAAATCATTTAGCATAAGACACTGCAATTAAGTTTTCGACCTCAATTTTGACAGAATATACACTAAGGACTTTGCCTTGCCATTCAATTCATCATATAGAGGCGATCAATTTTTAATGGACAATCGTAATACACGATAGGCCTTTTGCAACATAGCCGAGCATTTCTCATGATAGTAAAACACTACCGAAAAAGAAATAGCCCGTTTGATTGCGAAAGTTTTCATTCTTTTTCAAATTTATACAGTATATTCATAAAAGTGAATACCTGAGATTTCATCGAAATCGAAACTCAAGATCAAAAGTTTTTTATACTTTGAATATAGGCGCCTATGTTAGCGGGTTAAAGTGCTTGAGAGCTAGGTATCAGAGCTGAATGCACTCGATTGAGTTGTGAGCAGGTTGAAATTACAGGCAGTTTGTCATTAGAAACGAGCCGAGATATGTCAAACCTTATAAAAAAGCTCAAGTCCAGTTCTGTTTCTGTGTTTTGTGCATTGGAATCTGTAGAAAATGATATCGAAACATAAGAAAACGTCAAGGAATTTTTAAGCCAAATTCATTCACGTTGTGCCTATGACATGTTTTTCAAACGTACGCAATACGTCAATTTTTCCAATCCCTCGTTTAAGTGCTGGAACTTAATGCGTTCACGCTTTTTCAACCAATGCAACTCAGATTCACACGATAGCAGAGGTTCTTGACTCCGCCGAACGCAATAGCAATGTCTGGCATCTCAGTTCACTCAACGAACTCAAGCTTGTAGTGAAGTTCCATCAAAGATAACCCAATAGTACATACTAGGGTTGTCACAGTTCCGTTAAGTTGGTAGTTTGGGAGATTCCATGAGAAACGTACCATTTTATGAAGTTCTTTAGCAAGTGTTTATTTGATGCTTCTTCAAGTGAAATTTCAATAAATATTCATATTCCCAATCTCTACGAGAAGGAAATAAGTTCTTTGTCTGAATTCTCTGCAGAATCGTCTAAGTAAATGAGCCCACGAAGAATTGTGTTTATTTGACTCAGTATGCATATATATATATATATATATATCTATTATCAGAGAATAGGACTTACCGATCTATCTCAAAAAGCGAGGCGAATACGTTGTTGTATCATAGTTCGACCTTGATGGAGTGATGCATAAAATTCTTTCATATACATTTTTGACGGTAAGATGAAAATGACAAAAGTGAGCATGGGCGGAACAAATGAAATGTGATAACCGACAAGAAATAGCTATGGATTGCGAGCGGATATCATGCAGCCTGAGACGAACGAAATGATGATACGTGGCAAAGCCAGAATGATCAATGCACATGGAGCAATCAGAAGCTGTTTGTTTTGTTTTAATTGTCTGCGTAAGATCTCATTATAATTTTGATCAGAACGAGCACGTGCTCGTCTACGAGCAGTTGTTAGAATAATGAGAAAAGCCGAGGTTACATTGATGGAAAAGGGGCCGATAAAGTGAAGTATGTTGATAAATGAGTTGAACACTTCGAGACTGTGCGAATAAGTGATGATACACCAAATTCGTGGCTCGTTAATATCTTCATCATCGATTAGTCGCCGATGAATCGGATCATGAATAAAAGTGGCCGTTGTCAGAAGAACAAAGCCGAGAATGATCCATTTAGCCACTTGTTTGCTTAATGCCTTATTAAAATTAATTCCTTTAATGGCGGCCATTGCTCGCTCGATAGCTACACAAGCATTAAGCCATTGATCCATGCTGAGACATAGTCGAAGAAGAAAATCCGTCAAAATGCACTGAAAGTTTAAAAATGATCGGTTTGTAATGGATGCTGATTGTGCGAGAAAGAGTAGCCAGAATTTGGCGGAAAACACACTTGCCATGAGCAAAGAAGTGATCGAAGAACCCAAAAGATACTGACCACAGCCAATATTACGTAGCTTTTTAGTTTTGAAGGTAATAATTGATAAAATGCTATTGACTAATCCCACTAGAGATATTGTTATTGTGAGTGCTATGCTTAGTAGAACAGCACCCGGTTGTTGTGAAAGACTTATGCGAGGTCGAATATGATAACCTAAAATAGAATCTAGCGAAAGACCAAAAATATTTGTACTAAATTGGCATTGCGTTCCATAGAAACATTCTGGACATTCACACATGAACATGCGAGGACATTTTAGATTGTCATAAAAGCATTTAGCTCCATTTTCACAGATATTTTGACCAAGACAATCGTGCTTCAACTGATGGTTAAATTCGAAACAGTTTGCTATTCGCCGGTCATCTTCATCTGTACACAAACAAAGATGAACGTCATCGTAGAAACAAGACAATTGTGGTGAACGTTGTTTGCATGGCACATGATAATATTTGATGCGACGAAGAAGATGCATTTCAGCAAATGTCACATTAAACAGTTCGTTTATATGCGCACATCGATCGGATGGATAGACCGTATCGATGATTGTTGACGATGCTACGTATGTCTTTTGCACAAGAATCAAATAGTAGTTATGATTGGAAAGTTCGATAAATACAATGTGAAATGGATCTGGCCAATAAATGATGGACGAATATTCGTAGATGGGGATCTTTTTGAAGATACTACTACGCGCAGGAGGTGCATCATTGAATACTTGTATGAAGTGAACGAGCACCGATTGTGGTATATTTATATCTAATTCAAATGAAATAATAATTTTAGTATTAGCTATTTCACATCTTTTTCCACTGAAGCCTTCTGGACAGATGCATGTGAACTTGTTTTCAAATGTTGTACCTTCATCGTTAGGTACACATTGACCACCATTGCGACACGTATTTTTTTGACACGAAATATGATCGAGTAAACATAGAGAACCAAATTTGCCCAACGGACAAACGCAGACAGATCGATTGTTACTCGAAACACCAACGCAGAGAGAATCTGGCGAGCAAGTACATTTGTGCGAAATAGTACAATACCGTCCAGACCAACCTGGATTGCATCGGCAAAATGTTGTACTGATTGCGGCGTTGATATACTTGGTGCATTTGCCATGAACACACGGATGATTGGAACAGCTTACATCATCATTTCTGGGACGAGGAATGATAATTTGAAGAATGGTACGATGTACAGGTAAAAATGAGAAATTAAGTGGCATTAACCAGCTTGCACGATAGTCTAGTGAACGTTTGTCATAGGCGTCAATATGTATCGAATAGATTTTTGTTAAATTTTTCGGTCTGGCTGAATATAGTAAATAAATATTAAACTTGATTTGACAGTCTCGCATAGCGATAAAAGTGAGTTGTTCGTGGGAATTAATCGCTCTTTCGTCATTGTCAATGAGGAAAAGAACAAGAGCAAATGATGTTTGACCAGATTCAGGCGATGGTTTTACTTGCAAAGTAAAACTCACTCGTTGATTTTGATACTGACACATATTACCATAGTAGTTTGGTGGACATAGACATGTCATAACTGTCGAGTTCGTTTCAACACCCAACCAAACTCGCATATCAAGTCCACGATGACAGCGTTGCTGACGCTGAATATTTCGACTCGTATTGAGAGGTGACAAAATCGTATTTTCTTTACGTTCTCTCGTTTGATTCATCAAGTTTCGAACTGCTCCCAGTGTGAAGTGCACAATAGTTCGTTTCGGACTTTCAAAATCAAATTTTTTGCAAAAAAATTCTTCGACTTCAGAACGGATCGACGGATGTTCATCAAAGCAAATTGATCCCAAAATCGTTCTATTTCGATCTTTTTTACAAAATTGTTCGTCGTCACCGTAGTTGCAATAGGACCATCCTTCACAGAAAAACACGGGCGAAACACATTGCTCCTTAGGTGTGTTTTTACAGTAAAACTTGTCTGTATTATTTGGTGCTTGGGTTATTCGACAGAGGTGTGGTTCGTCAGTGGCACCTAAACAATCGATGATACCATCATTGGCTTTTTCAATTGGTAGACACGTTAATTGATTTGTTTCATTTGAGACACAAAGATGTTGGTAAGGAGGACATTCCGGTAAGAGTAGCATCTCACAGTTAACTTCATCAGCTCCATTAAAACAGTTCCAAAAACCGTCGCAGCGTGTGTATGAATTATTGCACTGCCATTGTCCACAATCGGTTTCGTCAGTTTCACTTCGCCCATCGATAATCATCGGTTGAAGTTCGGCGAAACCGTCACAAATTGTCTGAAAAGAGATACGCTCTTGAGAATCGATATTATTGTCAATCGGTACTTCATCATCGCAATAGCGTGGGCAATCACATTGGCCATCTTTGACACGATAGTAAGAAATCGATTTGCTTGAGTGTTTACATTTGAAACACTTTACAAGTGGCGTCGGCGAACATATTTCATCGACCTCCACATATTGCTCGTCATCGTTGTGTGGGCAATCTGTAATACCGTCATTGAGACGATATTTTGAGACACACTTAGTGGAGTTGTTACACCGGTACATAGTCGACATGTTACAAAATGCTGAGTAATCGACAAACATTGAGCTACATCGCCAAAACAGCTTTTGTAATGGTAAAATTATTGATCCCCAGTTATAATAGTAAGTTTCGATCCAAAAGTAAGATCCAAACTCGTTGGAAAGTCGACATGTGGCATTATTCAAGGACGACAATGTGATCGTGGACGGAAGTCCGCTGCAGAGTTGATCGTTATAGCATACATAGGACGGAAGTGACAGTTCTGGTTCGTATATTGATGCACTGTTCGAATAGATTAAGTATACGTGACCGTAAAGAACTGGTGCATATGGCAGACGGATCAAATCAGGACAATTTTTCTCAATGAGTCGCTTACATCTGTTGTTCTGACAAAATTCGTAACACGTCGTATTTCCAATGTCGACTGGAACCAAAGTGTTAACACATACGAATGCTGACCAACATTTACTGTTCACAAAATTTTGTTCAGTAGAAAGCATTGCTCTCATTATCAGATAGTCACGTTCTTGTATGCATGATTTTTTCACAAATGTATCAGATCCCCTACCAATTTGCATACACATGGCCTCTTCACATCGAAATACAGGACCGGTAGTCTTGCACGCCACATTCTTTCCAAATTCATCAATTTCGTCAGATCCATCAAGACAATCGGGATTTGACGGATCATCACGTAAGAAAGCGATAGGTATACATTGTCCATTATAACATCGATATTCGTTTTTCTGACACTCGTGGATTTCGACTTGCCAACAGTGTTCTTCGTCACGTCCTCCATCGATACAATCGATACTTCCATCACAAATTTCAGTCCAATCGAGACATGCCGGGAATAGACCACGAATACATTGTAAATGCTTGTAGCATGTTAATGTGTTTGATCCACTCCTGTCTCGATAAAAATCATGAACCATTTCAGTAAATGACGAATGATGAGGTTCGTATTGATCGAACATATATTGACATATTGGACCAAACCATGGTAATGTACAGTTGTAGAAAAGCTCTGTTGACATCGTTGTTTCTTTTGACGTTGAAGGTTGATTTAAGTAAAATTGATAGCGCTCAATCTTATCTATGGGTGCAGACCAGAGATATAACTGTTGAGCGGTAATATTTCGTTTGCGTAATTCGTCAAAAGTGAAATTTTGATCACGAGTATTTGTTTTGATATTCCATTTGGGTGACCACTCACTCAGACAGTAAGAAACGATTTGTCTAGGTCCACTTTCGCCATCAGCGTAGCCAGCATACAGACAATCGTGCTGCAACACAATGTCACAACTACTGTCACTAACGCAATCTGTAAGATCGAGGTTGAATTGAATCGGGACAGTCATTGTGACCATCAAAATCCAGACAAGAACTCGAGCAAGCAGCATTATCTATCACAAAATAAATGTAAGGTGTAGTAACTTATCCGTATAACTATTTATCTCTCTCTTTCGACGATGGAACGAACAAGAACGGATTCCATAATATGTGTTGAACAAACTCATTCGTTCCGTTTCTGACATATGCTCAAAACTTCAACTGAATGATAACATACATGCCCAATTTGAAACTTGAATTCAAACTTTTCAGGTATTCAATTCAACATCTGATGGCGATATACTGACACAATTCTTTTACCATGCTCGTTTCAAGTATCCAATGGAACGTCAATACTTGAATACTTCAATTCTAGTTTCAAGTTTGATGCTACTGGAAAAGAAATTAATGCGGCACAAAACTGTATATGGTATAACAAGTTACGCTAAACCTACAAACTGTTCAAGGAATCATTTACAGATTCAGTGAAACCATGGAAGGTTTTGTACAACACCATTTTTTGAGCGCATATGACTGTTTTATATTACTTGAATAATTTGTTCTCTTGAAAAACATCGAAAGTAATATGACAAAAATAAAAATTTTGAAAATTTGAATACCGAACTATATGAATGTTCAAAAACTGTCGAAAATGGACGCCAAGAACAGATTGGGATATGAGGAGTAGTCGAGGAAAGAGAAAGGCTGTGTATAACGTGTGAACCCTGACCATTCGGTTGTGTGAAGGAAAGTCATCTAAAATCACACACACATCAATATCAGCATACCCTACCACACACCCGCATTCACACCAACGTAAACATCTGCATTCACATCTAATCCATCCCAACCGTCTCAAAGGCATATTACAGTCTCACCTACACCCTCATATTCACCCACACTAACAATGTCATCCACATCAACATCTCACCTCGAAGCCACAT